AATCTTTTTAACCGTTTTATCTAACTGTGTTTTGATCATAGTCAGAAAAGTCTGTAAGATAGAAACTGTCTGGTTTTTCTGTTGCATTAAGAAAGTCCAAGTGGTGCGGCTGAAATCATCCACGATAGTTAAGAAAAAATGTGCACCACTCAGAGAAGAGTGATGATATGGTCCCCAAATATCAATGTGAACTAAATCAAACACAGAAGAAGTTTGTATTGTACTAACAGGAAATGTGATCCTTTGCTGTTTTGGAAGTGGACATACATCACATGGCCTACTTTCTTTACTACAAGGCAATTGTAAACCTAATTGCTTAACAACCAAATCTGAAGGATGACGTAATCTCATGTGCCAAAGTTCACTGGAATCTTTGGTTACAAAACATGAAGAATGCTGTTGATAACTAGCAATCTGTGAAAAGAAAGGATGGTTTACATGCTTAGTAACAAACTGATAGATGGTTTCTGAGGTAAAAGATGATTGATCTAGGACATAAAGTCGATTGATGACCTTTGCCGACTCCCAATATTTGGTTAGTCGCTTGGTCCTTCAAAAGACAGAAAGTGGTGGAAAAATGACAATCAATATTGGATAGGTAGCTAATTTGCTGACAGAAAGCAAATTATATTGAAAGGTTGGTATATGAAAGCACTCAGATAGTTCTATTTGATCAGATAAAACTATGGATCCTATATGTGAAACTTGTTGTATGCTTCCATCAGGAAGACATACAGGACTAATGCAAGACACAGGTTTATAATGATTAAACATAGAAAGTTTGGATGTCATATGACTATTTGCTCCACTATCTAAAATCCAAAGAACTAAAGCTACTTTCTCAATAGTACTCAACTTGTTAAAAGAGTTCATACCTGCAAAGTCCGTGAAATGAGCAAAGTTGATGTGTTCTCCTTCCTGTGATACAGCCTTGCCTTTCATCAATCTGCTTACTTCCTGCTGTAGCATGTGCAAGTTGCTCAGAACATTTTGAAGCTCACCATTATTAGTCACCGGTTCTGGTGAATCAAAAGGAGTATCTACCATGTTTGCTGAGAACCTGTTTGTTGTCATTTTTGGGTCCTTATTCTCTTTGTTTCCTGGCCACCATTCCGGATATCCAATCAACTTAATGCACATATCCTTTATATGTCCATTCTGATGACAATAATCACAGTACAAGAGTTTCTTAGCTGGTTTGTCCATCCTTAAATCATTGCCTCTGCCCATCCCTGATCCATAACCACTTCCAGTTGCATTCCCTTTGGTCTGTCCAACTGTTGTGTTCCCAAAAATTCTTGTTCCACCAGCATTATTGTTTGCATTGTTCTGATTACTCTGTGTTCCAAATCCAGTGTTCTTCCCTCCATTGTAATTACTTTCAAAGTTATGCCTTTTCATTGCAATCATTGCACTGTTTTCAACTATATCTCCATATGCCATGTTCACCATCTAATGTTTCTCAATATTGAGCACCATTCCATAAGCTTTTCTCACATCTGGCAGAGGTTCCAGCAGTAAAATGTGATTCCTAACCTCATTATATGAGTCATTAAGCCCTGTGAGAAACTGCATTAGCTTTACTCTTGATTCTCTCGTTCCAATTTGCCCGTTGAAAAGACAAGTGCATCCTCCACAGCTACAATCATCAGGTCGATCAAGACGATTCAATTCATCCCATAACCGCTTCAACTTTGCATAATAAGTGGCCAGATTCTGATTTTCCTTGCTTAATGATACAAATTTCCCTTCGCAACTTGTAGATTTGCGGTCCATTCCCTGTTCCATATCCCTCTTCCAACTCCTCCCATAATTTTTGTGCAATACAGGCGAGATTGAAATTATCAGCAATTGATGGCGGAAGTGAATTCAAGATCCATGCCACCACCAGGTCATTAACTCGATTCCACTGCTCGAAGTCTGGAGATCTTGGATTCGGCTTCGAAAAAGCTCCAGTGAAAAACCCTAGCTTATTCTTTGTCCCAAGAGCACGTTTGGCGGCATAGCTCCAGGAGACGTAATTGTCATCTGTTAATGGCGTTGTTACCAGTGAAATAGCAGGTGTATCTGAAGTGAGTAAAGTGAGAAGATGCGTATAACCTCCATAATTGATCGCTTCTCTATCATTCCGGTCATCTTCACTATTTTCTTGGTCTCCGCGACAGAGATCTCTGTTTCTCCGATTATCAGCCATGAAACTTCTGAATTCCTTCAAAAAAACTCCAAGATCTATAGTAATTGAATGAAGAAACAATTGATACAGAACATAATCGACTGTTCTGGTACCATGAACAATTATCAAACCTAATTATTTTGTAAAGCATAAAAGGGGTTTTCAGAGTATCTTTCTGCGGAAGCAATTTTCCTTTTTCATTAAATTGACAATGATTATCCCGAATTCTCTCCTATATATACAGAATTAATGTGTCTTAACAGCCTCTACTATTTATAAAGAACGTCCCTGGATTTAACTCTAATGTCTAATATATACAAAGCTGACTTATTATCTAAAAATGTTGACTGTACATATATACAGTATATACTGAGCCAAGCTGTGATCAATCCGGCTCTTTTGCTGATTTTGTTGATGCAGCACATGGAATATCTTCAGTCTGTGAAAGTGTTGGCGGCGCCGTCCACAGTGATTTGTCTACTGCTGCAATAAGAAAGAAAGCGATAGAGGTGGGCTCGAGGGTGGATGCGCTTCAGAGCTCGATTGGTAATCATGACCACCACCACCACCACGTGGTCCATGACCACTGCGGCGTCCACCACCACCATGAACACGGGACGACACCAACTCAATTGAAGGCTTTTTGGTTCAGAGAAAAGCTCGACTTGAATCAGAAGTCCAAGCCTGAGGACCCAGACTGGGAAATAATTTCTCAAAAAATAAAAAGTAATCAAATTTCAGCTCGTTGTATTTATCTTGTAGGGTGTTAATGGTAACATTTCACTCTCTTCAGCCTAATGGCTAGAATAGAATTCGACCTATTTTGTTTCTCCTTTCTTTTATTTTCCCGTTTGTAACTCTCTTGATATAAATGGAATATGAAGTTTTGAGAGTTGTTAAAAATCAATGTAAATATCCTTTCTATCATATTAGAACCCCTCTGTTATGTCTCATTTCATTCCCAACTGAAATCTGAACTATACTTATCAAATTAGCTTCTTCTTCTTTTTTTCCTAATATTGATTGGCCCTGTTCTCATACGCAAGGTCGCCGTTTGCGGTTGATGGTGGTGGTGACGACGGCAGAGTGTGCGGTGAATGTCGGAGGGGATAATATGGGCAAATCGATCTAGGCAACAACACAAAATAATTCCAATTTGAAATCTCTTCAAAAACTACAAGAAATTAAAAGATGATAAATAGAGAACAATTAAATCTAAAGGGTACTATCAATAAAATCCCCCCAATTGTGTGGAAAAGGAGGTGGGGGTGATTCTGGGTGGAGGTAAAAATTTTATTTTTTTTTTGCATTTTTAATTATAATAGATTTTATTATAAAGAATAAAAAATAAATGGTGACCCGAGCTTGCTACCCCGAAACTTTGAGGACCAAAAGTGTGTTTTGTCCTTATTTGTATTGGTCAATTATTAATCCCTGAAAACGTCAAAAGTGTTTCGAATCATTTTAAACCACTTTGAACACAAATAATTGATTTAGATGACGGTCTTATCGGAACTTGCCTAATTTATGTGAGGGTAATTTCTATTTTGATTTACTAAAAAAGAATTCTCTTTTGTTTTGTTTATAATTATGAAATGTCGTGTAGAACGTGTTGCATCATATGCACAAGTGATCATTTCTTGAAACTAAAGTCTTTCATAATTTGTCATGCTTTGTTTTTACTTGAATCCAGTTAAGAGATCCTCTGGTCATGTTTATGTAAATCAAGTGACTGGCTAAGCTCGACCGGTCATCTTCTGATTACCATTAAATAAAAAAAAAAGAAAAAAAGAAATTGTGACGAATATAATACTTTTTATTGCATATAGATCGTTAATAGTTCGGGATGGGAACTAAAGTCACTCGAATCAGTCTGTGCCGGTTTTTGGCTATCATCTTCTAACTTAGACTTCAAACTCAGTTGACAGAAACTACGTACATGCGGTCGACAGTCGATAGTCAAAAGTCAAAAGTCAAAACCAATAATGGTGATGGAAACGAAGGTAGATTCCCTTCAATAGTATTGATAAAGTAATTTAAATTTATATCTTATTAATATGATCGAAGGGATATATTGTATATATCCATCAGAATATAAGTTCAAATTTATGCAAAATTCTACTCCCTCAATTCTGAGACTATTGTCAGAATTTGGAATATCATTGTCCTAAAATTTAAATTTTAAACAAGAGAATTATTTTAAGACAGAGATTAAGTACTAAATTTTTCTAAACCTCGGGACTTACACGTTGATTTTCCTTACAAGGAAATTGATATAGGGAAAAAAGTTGCATGTATTATTTTTTTTTGAAATGTATTAGGATTCGTTGAGGTGGATGATAGCTACTGAAATTGTTTTCGTTTCTATAATCGTAAGTATATGCACACCGCAGTCGTTTCTTTAGTCCTTCGATCTGTTGCGTTTTTCAAGTTTTTCCTAGTACTAAAGATGCTTTGTCCTTGAATTCTACGTATGCTACTTTAGTTTATGTGTTATTGGGTTTCAATTGGTGCACTGCATAAACATGGTAAAATAATGTCATGAAAAAAGAAAAAATGTCCATAAAATTCGAGTAGCTTAATATCGCGCTGGCTTTCGGCCTCTTTTAAAAAATTAAATAATAAAAAGACGAGGGAGCTTACTAAAGAAAGTTATGCATTAGTTTATGTAAATGTGATTCGAGTGATTAAACTTCTAAGCATGGATGTACGTAGTAGTCCTGATTATTGACTTTCATTTACATTCTCAAGAATAAATCTTCTCTGAGAAATTTCCTTAATAGCAGATACACCATTGATCATTCATATATATATATATATATATATATATATATATATATATATATATATCCTACTTTAACAGCTAAATAACTAATTAATTAAGGTCACTTTCCCTTATAAATAGGCCATGGAATCCACTGGGAACCCTATGAGGCAACATAACAGTAGCAATAATGTCAAGATTTGGTGATTTAGAATCCATCACCAAAAACCTTGATTCTCCATTATTTTTATCGTGGACAAAACATATCACGTAGCCATCATCTTCATCTGAGTTAGGGTTTCCAGGCTCCTTCGCCACAAAAAATGGTTCACCACCATAACAACCTGGTCCGTACAGCCGGCTAGCCACAACACAATCATGACGGTCAATCTCTTCTGATTGAGATATATCTAATTTCACTACTCCAGATATAATTGGCACTTGGTTTGGAACTCCAATTGCTGCATACACATACCTGAAAACAACAAGAAAATATAGTGAGTGTACACATTAGTGAGACTTAACACTCATGAATTTTCAGAAGAAATTCCCGCACTAACTTAACATGCATCTTTCTCACAACATCGTAAATGGAAATTAGGTAAGCTATAGAAAACAAAAAGCACATTAAATTAAATAGTCTAATACTTGGTTTTCTTGCCAACATAAGCTGGATTAATGACCCCAAATTCCAAACTTCTTGCTGAAACTGGATGTCTGCACACCATCCCGGTCTTGAGATCAATCTTAATCTTTTCAATGGAAGCATGAACCAAATCCATACGATCCAGAAAATGCTCAACCGACAACAAATTAGGACCCACAACCACAATCGTATCACCTTCATCCTCTTCCCAAGCATTGATCACATGTACAAAATTCAGTCCCGGAACGTCAAACCACCTCATCTCCCCTCCATCCACCGCGTATTTCGGAAGAACTCCGAGCCGGGGAACTTTTCCAGGATCTGAACCCACAGGTGACCGGCCTCCGGTAACAATCTTAAGGACATCTACTCCAATTTGTATGTCTGGAAAGATAGCATAGTTTTTAGTGATGGCCAAATCATGCATAAAAGGTGATGATTTCACTGAAAAAACCGGCACGTCCTGTTGTTTTGTTCCATCGGGATTGACTCTGAAAAATGTTAGAAAAGGAGCCCTAATTATTCCAAGTGTAAAAGCAAAAGCTTCTTTTGTTTCTGGATCAATCTTAGGATGAGGAGTCATGCTCGCTTTAAGCTTCCCGTCGAAATCATAGCGGTCCAAAGTGGTAATATCTCCATTAGGTTCTAACTTTATTTCGTAAGGAAGATCCGATTCGCCCATTGCGTAAAGTTTCCCGCCAATTAGGGCCACACCGATATTGGCCGAACCGATCCCGTTTCCGGTGGTGAATTGACCGGAAATAATTCTGGCAGCTGCAAGGCCCCAGCGCACAATGAATACTTTGAGACCGCCATTGAAAACCGAAAAGAAGTTCGGAATTATCGGCGATCCGACTTCTTTTTCAGCTTTATACTTGTAAGTTTTCACAAAACGGCTGCAAAATGTAGCCTTCCCCTTGGAAATTCTAATGCAGTGGAGCATTCCATCTCCCTCGAATAAATGGTATGGGCCGCGAGGGAAAAATTGCGGGTTCGGCCCATTTCGGATGTATGCTCCGTCGAGGCATTCAGGAAGGGTTCCTTCAACCACCGGACATTCGGTCGGAGGAAGCTCATCGACCGGAGCAAAGTTGTTTGTGAGAACACGGGTGGGATCGGAGGAAGAGTGGTGGCTGTGAACCGGATCGAGGGTTGTGTTAATGAAGCCATCCAGTGCATTCAATACATTTGAAAGTATCAGTGCTGGCTTCAAGGAGTTGGTTTTCCGGTGCAGTGGTGATTTTGAGGTGGCGGTGGTGGTTGGAAGGTTCTGGCCGATGCTGACACAAGATATGTGCCGGAGAGGAAAATTTTTAGATGATGGAGAAACCAACAAAGGAATGGTTATTTGGGGTTGGGGTGATAAAGAAGAAAGGAAAGAGGAAGAGAAAGCATCCATTGATTTTTCTTATCTGGAAAATCTGAATCCAGTGAGAAGATATAGAACTCTGATGATCAAAGTGTTTCAATTTATAAAAGAAATGATAATGCAGTTGCGTGCAAAGGGAGTGTTGACCATGCATGCCAAGTTTGAACAAATTAATGTTTCGTTTGGAAAATGTCACTGCCCATGCAATAATCCAAGTTGAACTAATGCATTCATATACATAATAATACAACAATCGAATTACGGCTCTAGATTTTCTTTTGTGCAAGTAGGTCCTATAATTTCTGCATTTGCCAATTGAGTCCATAATAAAACACATAATCACAACACGACCCCGGCCACAACAAAGCAACATCACCGTCTCTTCTCTATAACTCATCTTCTGGACGTTCTGCATTCTTGCGCCGCCTTTCGGTCAGTGCTGCATTCTTGCGCCGTCTTTACTCTTCTTCCGATCTTGTTGCATTCTTGCGCCGCCATTAATGTCTCTCGGTCAGTGCTGTATTCTTACCCCGCCGTCAGCCTCCCTCCAGTCGTGCCGCTTCTCTTTTTAGCGCCGCCATTAGTCTCCTTCTTATGCTGTTGTTACTGCTCCTGTTCGCTTGCGGTTGCCGCTACATCGTGGTTCACCCTGATTCTTGGGCAAACTGAGACTTCTACCTTCTCTGTCAGGCGTGTCAATGTGATTATTATCCCATGTGATAATTATCTGGTTAGTTGTGATATTGTGTAGTTATCATCTTGTATTTGACATTATCTCATTTAGTGTTATCCTAGTTGTAGATTCTTCTATTTAAGTCATGTAATATTCTATTGATCAATTGCTCAATTGAAGCCACTCCATTCTCTAAGTAGTTGGAGCCTTTCGGGTGGTCAAAAAGTCTTAGATCGTAGTATTCCTCTTATGTTGACTTGGTTAATTTCGTTTACGTGAGTCCTGAAATAAGATCTTTTTCGTTATTATTATTTTTTTTTGGTACATGAGGTGAAATAAGATATCTGACACTTAATTGACACACAATTAAGAGTTATGTATTCAAATATATTTACTTATTATATGTAATAAAAGTGTTATACTAATATTAATAACATTGTTATTTATAAATCATTTAACACTTGAACTTTTGTACATAACAAAACAAAAGAAACTGTCACGGAGTTTAATTTTCATGTTGTTTCACTAAACGATAAAATGTGATTTGCTATTTGGGTGGGAGATATATAGGATCATAAAAATAAGTTAATATAAACAAACAAAGAATTAGTGAATAACACAGTCACTATATTATTTTTTATTGGTCCGCTAGACTAGAATCTTGAAGCCCTAAGTTTGCAAATATAAAGCCTCGTCCAAACATTTAACCAATTAATTAGGAAAATATATTTTCAGAAACGAGTACTGATGATCACAACCGTTAAATTGCCAAGTAATCTAAAAGGAGCTAAGATACATCATATGAAGTGAGATGTATAAATTTGAAATGAAGTATGAATTAATTGGAAATATGTGGGGAATTCATTATCAAACTGGGAAAAAGAAAATTGTTTATTTATCGAAACAATTATTGAAAGAAGTCAAAATCTGAGGAAACAACTATGTGACAATTATTTGGTAGAAGCTGATGATATTTATTGTGCATCAGAAATAATTTTGGGGGTGGGACAAAGCCACCCTAGAATAGTCAAAACTTCAAACTTCAAAATGAGGAAATTGGAGAGGGACGATGGAAGCTGATTATGTTGATTATGTTGACGGATGGAAGCTGAAGGCCGAAGTGACCAAGAAGTTGGGTCCAAATTCCAATTTAATTGAGAGAAAAACTTGCAATGAAGCCCGCAAACAAAAATTTTGAATCAGCCCGATCCTCAATGTATATAATGGATCATCCCACTAAGCAAAAGATGTCTTCTCCCCAGAGTTTAATTTGGTTATATTCAACACAATAAAACTTTTATAAATTAATCTTCTATAGGTGCGTTCAATACATGGGAAAAGGAATGGATGGTTCGTAATATCATTACGTTTTTCATCGTTATCATGTTCATTAAAATATTTAACGGAAGGGAATGTGATACCTCAATTTATAAAATAATGGGATTGAAATATTATGATACTTTAGATCATTTCTAAATTAAATGCCTTCAAATTATTAAATAAAAAATATAAAAAAAATATATTTTTACCAACAGAAAAAGAGCTTCTGATTTTTCTTCATTTTGTTGAAGTAGATTATTTTTCAGGACAGAGGGAGTATGATAAATTTGAGTTCTTTAAAATTTAAATCAATATTTTTCTTCATTCCCAATCTATGACAAAAAGAACATTGTTGTTTATGATTATGGAACATTTCTAAACATTGCAAACGATTTTAAAATTCTTTTAATGAGCTAACTAGACTACGAGTATAATTTCCATTCCTTCATTTCCTTTCCAGCGCACTGAACTCACCCTATAAATTTATAACTCTTTTAAAATAATGCTCCTTTCGCCTTAACAAGAGTCCACATCATTTTTGAAATTTATGCTAAAAATAGTACAAATGTTAAAACTTAATGTGGACTATTATTTTGGGACAAAAGGAGTATTTTTTTCAGCCCCAACTCAGGGCCAGTATAAAAAAATAAAGAAATTTGATTATGAGATAATAATTTTAAAAAGTTCCTATATAAATATAGGTTCCCATAATATAAACCAAAAACCGCTGGTTGATTCAGCCCAAATGATCTTTGATCTTGTAATCTGCTGGTGCTCCTACGCATGCCGTGATGGTTGGAGACTTAATTAGAGTTTATGTTGTTACTATTTTGAGAGGAGAAAAAAAAAATTAAATCTCTTCCATAAAAAACTAATGTACTAATACAATTTTACGGTTAACTTAGAAATATTAATATCGTAATAGATTTCATGGTGAATTGCGTAGTGTACAATTTAAATTTTTTTTTTTCACTTAAAGTAATTCCAAATATTACACTCCTCTCACGTTAAAATTCATATTTTGAACAATTCTTTACTTTTCAATGCATTAATGCTCGATCTTAAAGTGTTACGTCTAAAACGAAAAATGAAAACGCTGTGTATATATACACCTTGTTATATATCTAGGCGGCGGATCATTATAAGTTTACACTCCTCTCCCATGAACTTTGGGGTACACATTGGAAACTAACCGTATAAATCAAAGAAAACGAGTGGTGATTGAAAGGAATGAACGTAAAATGCATGCATCCTTAAAATTGATGTCAGATATATATGGTTAAGAACTATGAAGGTGAAAATCAATTTTGTTTCAATCTTTCATGAATGAACTTTCCAAGGGAAGTAATTTCTTGCTCTAGGACTTCATATAATATCCTATTCATTTCCCAATACTGTATATAGTTGCCAGAAGGAAGAAAATTGTTCCCGTAATACCTACCATTAATTATATGTGGAGCTGCTGGTTTTTGATTTACATTCCCAGCCTTTTCATAAGTAACAAAATTCCAATCGGCCGAGACTTCACTATTAATAACTGGCACATGCATTGTAAAGCAAGCAGCCCAAAAAAAAAAAGAGCAAATTTTGATATGGCAAAAATGATGACTTTTAAAACTTTTGCCATTCTTGTTGTTTTTCTTGCAGTTAACAACCTTCTAACTCCCAAGTTGGAAGCTGACGGTCACATCGTGTTGCATTCAGATACCTTACAAATCACGGATCATCGTCGTCTTGATGATGATAATCATCATCAGCAGCTGCTAATTAAGAGTGCTATGGAGTCGAATTTGAGACGAAAGCTCTTGCAAGGTTGCCGTTGTGATCCATTGGACATTGGATGTGACCCTTCTTGTTATTGCCCGTGTCCCCTCCCTGCCTGTACGTGTGAGGATTCAAATCATGTTTTTGATTCACCCACAAATCCAGAATCCGTTGCCTCAAGCAATGACAAGTCTAGTGAAGGGAAACCCTAATTAAATTAATCGAAATTGAGTCTTCATTTTCAGTTACTTTGTTTGAAACTTCTCGTTTTACCTGCAATTGTATCCCCACGGCCCGGTGGGATGTATTGCGTAACATTTCATATCTTCTGCCAAATAAAACTTCACAATTTAGATAAAAGTTAATACTATGTCTCCGTTTTGTTAGAAAGTTTTTGAGGGTTTTATTGTGTTTTTCAAATTTTTGGAACCAATAAAAAAACTTTTTCCTCCGAATGTTTATGCGTTATGTATGTTTTAAAATTAAGCTCAAAATAATGATTATTTCATTAAAAAATTTGATATTAGAAACAAAGGTTTTAACTTTTTATGACTTAGGAGTTTAATATAATAAAACAGTAATTATTTCATTAAAAAATTTAATATTAGAAACAAGGGGTTTAAATTTTTATGACTGAAACAAAGGTTATAAATGAAAAAGGTTTAAATTTGATAGTGAAAAATTTGGAAAAGCATGTAATGCACCAGCTTTTTCGTATATAAACGAGCAAACATGAATTCGGAATTCCTAAAAGTGACACATGGTGCTAAATTGTCTTTCTTTGTTTTTTTTAAAAAAAAAGTGGCACAAGGTAGCAAATGCAGTTTCACAAGTCATGCCAAAAAAAAAATTAAATAGACTTATTTGGGATATTAAAACTCTAGTTTTAAAATGGAAAAAGTAAAAAAAAAAATCATTTAATTATTTTTCTTCATTTCACAGGTCAAATGGGAGCGAAAAAACTAACAGAAGAATCAAATTCATTTTTCAGAATTTTTTTAATTAGTATTAACTATCCTATTGTAAAAAACAAGTAAACGGAGCTCATTTTCTCCTTCACAGTTTTACTCCTCCCTCCCCAAATCTTGCGTTTCAATCGATCTCAAACTTCTTCTCCGATCGAAGCAGTCCATCTTACTTCTCCTAGACGAGCTTCCGATCGATTTCAAGCTCTTTGTCTCTCCGATTCCGGTTTGGTAATTCCGGTGAAATTCGGATCGAAATAATCATTCATCAAGCCGCTTTGTCAAATCGGAAGTCGGAAAACCTAATTTTGTCCTCACCTTGTCTCCGATAACTTCTAAATTCTAAAAAATTTGATGTAATTTGATCTATTTATTCATTAATCAGTACATGCATATTGTAATTTAGTTGCTTCATCTTATTATTATGTTCACTGATATTTTGAAGCTGAGTTCTATTTTTGTATGTGTTGTCGTAGCAATCGTTGTGTTTTTAATTCCTCTTTGTTTCTGAATCATATCCCATCCTATGATCAGAGTGCTTTTGCTGTGAAAACCTTAGGTCAGTCGCCACTCATTCACCCAACATTTCAAAGTGCAAAATTAAATGAATTTTCTACGATTTCATAATATCTGAGGGTGCTTGACTTTAGGGTGAGTCATATCCGAATTTGTGGACAAAAAAATTTGTAGGGTTTAAAAAGTGGACAAATATAATGTTCTCACGCTTTCAAAACGCGAAACAAGAAAATTAAATTAAATTTTTGCATTTGTGAAACACGAATCAGTTTAATTATTTTTTCAACAAATTCAACCGAGAAGAAAGAAAAAAAAATTGAATGAAAAAAGGAAAAACAAAAATAGCATTTTGGAAACGCGATTAATCTAATTCGCGTTACAGAAACGCGAAAAAAACTTTCGCGTTTTTAAAACGCGAAATGCTATAATTTTTAAATTTTAAATAACTTGCTGGTTGAAAATAAATATTTAGCGTTTTGAAAACGCGAGAAAAAACTTTTAGCATTTTGAAAGAGCGAAAAATGATTTTGGCGTTTTGAAAACGCGAAAATATCCAGAAAATCTCCTCAACCACTCATTCGGCTCCACGTGTATTTTGATGATAAGTCTTGAATGTATTCACGTTTTGTAAACGCGAAATTTAAGATTAACATACCAAACCAAGCAAAATAACAGTATTTCTTCCCAAACTTTTTTCATTCTGTTGAGCTCCGATTTTTCTTACCAAACTTTTTTCATTCTGTTGAGCTCCGATTTTCAGTTTCACTCCAGAGGACTTGGCTGAATCCGTGAAAGCTCTCATTTCCTTCAAATTGAGAAGTTGGTCCGAAGTTAAAGAAGATTGATTTGAGTCCTGAAGCCTATTTAAAACCCTAAGTTTGAACATTCAGGTTAGTTTATTTCGTTATAGAAAACATGTACTTTTTTTATGCCTTATTGTGAGCATAGGATGATTTACGCATTCTTATTAGTTAATAAATAATTGTGATTTTGTCAATTAACGGTGGGTTTTTAATTAGGCCGATAAAGTGAATTGAAAGAAATATTAGTTAATAGAATGTTAAATTAGATAAGCTTTGTAAATTATTGTATATCGATTTCTGTAAAATAAAATAAAATTATAATAATGATATTGAATTTTTGAATATTTTTATTATAAGAATAAATTATGTAATTCGGGCATAAGGTTTAGATTTAATATTAATTTTTAGCGTAGAAATGAAGTTTTAAATTCAGGCGTATAGTTGTTCTTTTGAAAATATTAAATCTGTAAACGGGGTAAATACTGTTCGGCAAAATTAAAATTCAAAATGTATTCTAGTGTTCTTATTTCAGATGTTAGTATTCGTTTCCATTACTGTAACATATTCTTTATTGGATTTTTTTAATGGTGCCAGACTTTTAATTACGCGACTCTTACTATATTACGACTGCAGTTTGTATGGATGCCGTACACGACTCTTCTGGGTCGTATTGCCAGGGTTTGTCTTGTGGGACAGGGCATCTGGCGATCTCAGACATGGCTCATCTGCGGTGATGTCGTTGCACCACACAACCCCAGTAGGGTATTTCGCCAATTTGGTTATCACCAGTGGATACCCGGCGACGCATTGCTTCTGACTGCGGGGGAAATTACTAGCCTGCTCAAGAGGAAGCCGTTTGGAGGATCCGATAGGAGATGGATACAATAGCCAGGGATATATCTCCAGGTTTGGAATGATCGCCACGGCAGACTTGTCAGGACTGATGATGATTATGTTGGCGAGCCTACAGCAGATCCGGAGTATCTCTTGTGGTACAATCATGTTACTGTAAAGTATGTTACGGATCCGACGGACTCTGAAATTGCGAGGGGTTTTCACGGCTCTGCAGAGACCTTCCGCCTCATGGTGAGTCTTTCGTACAATTTCTTTTGTGTCATTGTCCATTATGTAATTTATTTTCATTGTTATCGATTTACGATTCTTTCTAACAAAAATTTCAGGCCACATTGATGGAGGACGTTCGTAGCCTGAGTATTATAGACCAGCGTACTTTCGACAAGGACTCCTTTGGTTATGATCGCTTAGGCGAGATTGCCCAGGTTGCTGAGCGATTGTTGTCCGTCAATGCAACAAATGTTGTACGTCACGATCTCGAGAGGCAGGTTGAGGTTAATGACATTTTGAGTCAAAAACTTGCACCTGTAGACCCGACCCAGCAACACCCACCTCCCAGACCTCCGAGGCGTTCGCGCAGGTCTCAGCGTGGGCGTGGGGGGCAAGAGACAATCACGCCCACTCAGCCACATCAGTCCTCCCAGCATCAGCAGTCTCATATCCCCTTCACTGACGGTTCATCCCATCAGTCTCCACTTATGTCTCCACACCATTCTTCTCAGCATTCATCCCATCAGCCTCCACATTCTCCACATCAGTCTCCCCATCATTCTTCGCCGACCCAACAGGTGTTTTACCATCCCATTATATCTCCCTAGCACCAGCAGTCCCATTTTGCCTTCACTCAGTTTTTCTCCCCTCAGACTTCTCAGCCTCAGTTTGGAGATACTTTTATTGACTTTTCTGGGTTCCAGCAGAGTTCTCTAGATGGCCAGTCGATACATTACACGAGTAACTTTCTTTCGAGTATGTTCGAGGGTGTTGCGGGTCAGCATCAGGCTGATGACCCAGCTGGAGGTGAGCGTGAGAGTCAGGGTGAAGACGAGGATGAGGATGAGGCTGAGGATGCAGACCAGCATGATCAGTTTGAGGGTCAGGGTTATCAGCGCCATGAGGAGCAGGGATCGAGTCAGACTCTAGGGACTCCACCGTTGGCTGTGAGTAAAGGCCAGAGAGTGACAAATGAGCCCGATAGATTGACTTATAGCCATTTTCAGTCTAAAAAGCCCAAGAAGAAGTAGGGGACTAGACTTTTTATGTGGTATTATTAGAGTTTTATTTTTTTTCCTTTTGTTATGACTTGTATTAATATTCTTAAACAATGATTTCACTTGCATCGTTGCTACTTTATTAATATTTATCAAACACATCTTCGCCGATCAAATCTAAAAACAAAAATTTTATTTTATTTCAAACTATATTTTATTTTTTTAATAATTAATAGTTACTTTATCTTTTTTTTTTTTAAACAAACAACAAAGTATTTAGTTTATCCAAACAAAAGATGTAATTCTTAGCTCTTACATACCAACCGTCTATTAAAATTACCACATCCATAAAAGGATAATACCAGATACCTAAAACTAACATTCAGTAAACCATAGTTCTCTTCAAAATTAAGATGCGGTGCATTAAACAATCGCATTGGCAACACTCGCAATCCTAGGCCAAAGATCATCACACTCCTTTCCAATGGGACCACTGATTGCAGAACCTTTCATTTTTTCCTTGGGATTAACAATCACTCCAGTATTATCTTCAAAGTACATGTAGACACCGTCCTTTCGGCACCATGGCTTGCGCTGGCGGATAATGACTGCGGACATGACCTTCTTCCTGAGATCAGGCTTACCCTTCTTGACGGTGACCATAACCATCTCACCGACGCAAGCAGTAGGGAGACGGTTGAGCCTACCCTTCATTCCCTTCACTGAAATGATGTAGAGGTTCTTTACCCCGGTGTTGTCGGCGATATTCACCGTCGCAGCCACTGGAAGACCCAGAGACATCCTGAACTTGTTACCCGCCGATCCTCCGCGTCCTCGCTTTGACATTTTTGCTGTCTCCCCTGTGAGGTTTCCGAAGAACAGAAAATACTTGCTTCATCTTAAGCATTGGTAAATTATAATAAATATTTCTTAAAATTTATTCATATTTTAAGCTTTTTTCTTATATTGAAACCGTCATAATTAATGTAAATAATTTGTAAATTAAATTACATCTAATTAATATAAATCCATAAAATTACGTCATTTATCATTATTGAACATTTTTCATATCAAATAATTTTATAAAATAATGATTAAACTTTTAATATAATTTTTTAAAAATTTTATAAATTATAATAATTATTTCATAATTTTAATAATTTATATTTAGTATAGCTCTATTTAATTTAATAAGTATCAATTATATTATTATATTCATATCAAAATTTAATTTTCCGATTATTAAAACTATCAATATAATCTTTCTATTAATAATATTCTTCTTTATAGCTCTATTCAAAATTTAATGATTATCAATTATAATTTTAAAATTTTCCTTTAATTTCATTATTAAAATTTAATAATTTTTCGAAGTAAATTTGCCTACAATTTTTTAAACTATGCAAATTAATTGAATTTTTATGACTATTTCCTTTTCTTACTTAAATAAAATATTCTTTTTTATTGTTTTCGCGCTTTAAAAACGTGAAAAATAATCTTTTTTATTTTTTTCACGCTTTGAAAACGTGAAACTTTATTTAATCAATTTTTTTACCATTAATTACTTATGATTAAGTTAAATTAATTAATGTAACCTATTTTTAGCGTTTATGAAACGTGATAATCTTCTTTTAGCGTTTTTAAAACGCGATTCTGCCAATTTTCACGTTTTTGAAGCGCGAAAGAATTAGTTTTGGGAACAATTGAAACCCTAAAACTATTTTGTTCTTCAGTAATTTTTTCATATATATATAAGTAATTTTTCCTAATATCTGATTAGGTTTCTATTTGCTCTAGTTAAAAATTGAACTCTTTTTGTTAGAGTCTGATCGAGGGAGGTTTGCAGTAACTTTGATTGTTGAAGATGAGAACTCAAAATTTTGAATGGCTCTCAACATAATTGATTTCTATTTCCAGGATGAATGATTTTTACAGGAATGGTGTTGATATGAAGTTGTTGTGTAGACTTTATCTTTACCGGTTCTCTATTGTTTTGAGTATACATTCCCGGCTATGCTAGTAGTTTGTCATCCATTAAAACTGTTCTTGTTAATTATGTTGTTTTGTCCTGGGATCGACCTTGGGTAGAGTGGCCATACAACGCAACATGGAATCTTTTCACTTGTAACTTAATATTAGTTGTTGCGCTTGGTTTTTCCTTTTCTAAAAGAAAATTAAAAAAGAAAGAACAAGAAAAAACCGATTCTGCACCATTTGGTTTTCCAACTATAGTTTCTTGATGCAAAGCAACTGGCTCTACAAATAGCATACTGAGTTGCATAAAGTTTAGTTGCTGATTAAGACTTTAAATTTGCGAATGGGATCTCCATGGAAGCTAATCAAGTTAATTAAGTCTTCCTAAAGTATGTGTTTTTTACTTTTAGCCACACCAATTGAAATCTTTATTGGTAAATTGAATAATTACATTAAAGAGAATTTTTAAATACAATCTATGTGATGTGTCAAAAGCATCATTGATTTGAAAACTCAAATTAACTTGCTTGAGTGTTGAGCTCTTCTTAACAAAACATGAATACCTTCCCTTGTTTTTGTGTACTTTCTCCAAGTTGTGCTTTGTGGACCATGGTGCAGCTCATTTGAACCGATTTTATTAATTTTCTGCATTTTAGAAAGTTATTGCGTAGAAAGAATATTGATTTACCATTGAAATATGTACATGGATGGTTAACATGTCCGGTACCATTTTCTTTGTTGATTCTATGTTGTGGAAATTATGTTGGTTTAAGAAGAATTTTAATCTACTTGCTCTTTACTAAGGGTGATGATACTGGAGGTTTGGATCTCAAAACTCTTGAATAATTGCAGAATCTATGTGGAGGCCATCACCAAGATTTTTCATGCAAAGGTATGAGCCAGATGTCATTCATTAGTCTTATTAGTTAGAGTTTTGGACAATTTTAGTTGTTAACCTTCGGGACTTTATCACTTCAATAACAATCGAGTGGAGGTAGGCTCTCTTTATGTGATTGATCATTTTCAGTTGCCACCAAGGACCTCTGTATAGCTCAGGACTATCCGGGTGGCAATGGTAATTACATAAAATTCACTATACTCGTTGAAACTCCTCTTCGTGATTAGTTTCTAATGATCTTGGGCTTAGCTACCTGCATATTTTGCTATAAATATGGACATCATTTGATTTCTTGTTTGTTGTATTTAGGTGAGTGAGAAGACTAAGCTAAATGTCGCATAAGGAGAATATAAATGATTGACAAGCCGTCGTCACACTAGTCAAATATTAATTACCTACTTAATACAATTACTAGTAGTAAAGTCGGAAGTAGAGTCGATCCCACAGAGAAAGTTACTAAGTACCGGTTAAAACTATTTCTTATTATTATTTAGATTAATAATTTATCAATTTTAAACTATTCTAAACCTAAAACTAACAATTGCAATTATTTAAAGATATAAATAAGTAAAAAAAAAAACCTAGGGCAAAGGGTTCACCAACCGACTATTCAGTTTAATTTAAACTATAGATATATGACTTTCGACTCTCATTAATCTCACGACAATTCACCAATTTAAGAATTATACACTCTCGTGTCATAACCCCCTTACTTAAACTAACCCTATGACTACTCTCGTGACTATAGGGATTAATAAAAACACATTAAGAACTTTGGAATTACTAGTCGCAAAGGCGGTGTTCCTACTCTCGTGGCTCACTACCTAAGTTTATTATTCCTACAAACTAATACTAGCCTTGTACTCTCGCTACTTCAGCTAGCATCTTAAAGCATGCAAATATTGATCAGGTATTCACATGGATGAAAAACAAGAATAATAAATATTAATTAATGAAAAGTCACAATCATAACTTAAATTAAATTAAATAGTACGGCGGCTACATCCAAAACCCTAGATTAAATAATTTAGCTACACATCATCTCAAAAAATAAAACAATGCTGCTCCTCTTGACGATGATGGTGCGTGAGTGATATTGATGGGGTGCTGGTCGCGTGGGTTTTTAGAGGTGAGGATTGGTGGTGAAGGTGGAGCGAAAGTGATAGGATGATGATGATTAAGGTGTGATGGTGATGCTCTGCGAGAGAGGTGGAGAGGAGAAAGCTGCCGAAGTGGTGGAAAAAAAAGTGGTAGCCGGCGGAGGATTTTAGGTGAAGGACGGTCCAGTTCTCTCTCAAAAATAAAAACTTAATAATCCTCCTTTTAGAGGCTTTCGTCAAACCCTATTTCTTTGGGAATAAGAAAGTTATTTTTTTTTCAAGCCAATTTAAATTAAAACTCCTCCAACTCTTCAAGTGCTTCAATTTCTTCCTTGTCAATTTATCAAATCTTCAATTCTCCCTTTGAGTTGCTTTTTCTTTTCAATTTAGTCTAAAATCTCAACAATTCTTTCATTTGAGTACAAAACTTACAAATAAAGATAAAATCATATAAATAGCATATTTGTACTCAAAATATATTGAAAAAAATCAGAAATTAGGGATATAATAAATAGGTAAAATATAAGCATATCAAATACCTCCAAACTTAAATTATTGCTTGTCCTCAAGCATTTCCAAAGATTAAAACAAATCAAAACAGTTAATTATTTAATTTTGGCGGCTTCAGAGATTTAATATCATATAACACAAAGACCTTGACTACCTCTAATATGCACTACCTAACAAAATGCAAACTATAGCTACTTTTAGCCCCCATGCTTTTGTGTGTGTGCGATCCGCTTCTCAGGGACATCACTTTACATTTAACATAGAAAACAAAAGCTCTGCTGCAAATATGTCATATATTAATAGTTTAACACAGATTCAAATTTCATACCATATTTCAATGCAATGGACCACCAGACATGCTATGAAGTAGAAGGACTTATCTCACAGAGAACCTATGCCCCCTCGTAACCCATTCTTCGGTCCATGTGACTTTTCTTCAGGACTCTTTCTGACTCAGGCCACTACCCAGAGCATTTTTCCACTCCTATACATAGTGGCTCAGCAACTTAGGGTAGTCTATATATATATATATATATTTTTCCTCACCGAGC